GTGAGTGAAGGATGACTCAACTCGAATCTATGGGAGAGGAAGGGAAGGAGGAAGAGGAGGAGGAGGAGGAGGAGGAGAGACCAGATGGAGAGAGATGGGAGGAAGAGGGGAAGGGAGGGAGAAAGGATGCTCGTGCTGGCGCTACATCCTCGGGCTCGTGCTTGTGCTACATCCTCGTGCTCGTGCTACATCCTCGTGCTGTTTCTGTCGCTGGTGCTGGTGCTGGTGCTGGTGCTGGTGCTGGTGCTGGTGCTGGTGCTGGTGCTGGTGCTGGTGCTGGTGCTGGTGCTGGTGCTGGTGCTGGTGCTGGTGCTGGTGCTGGTGCTGGTGCTCGTCATTTCTTTGACGGCATGGCAGGACGTACGTTGGATGTGAGAATCCCCTGGGGTCCGTGGGAGGCGACGGGGAGGAGGAGGATGAAAATGCGCTGTTGGCCATGATGAGAGAAAAAATGCTGGGGGCCGGTAAGGAGGAGGGAGAAGAGAGGAGGGAAGGGAGGAGAGAGGGTGGGAAGAGGAGGAGGGAGGAGTGAGAAGGACGGGGAGGTGGGAGAAGAGCACAGAGAGAGGAAGCAGGGAGGGAGGACCTCTGACGCAAAATGCAGGTGTTGTGATGACATCCGCTAACCAGAAGATGGATGAGTTTTTCAGAGACGAGCAACAGTTTCGAGTTCTTCTGTGATCTAGTGCAGTTTTGCCAAGATGTATTGTGAACAAGGCACGGAATGAAGAGGAAAAAACTGTGATAGCAAGAGAATGTGGAAAGTGAGAGTTAGGGAATCCAATTGAGATGAGAATAACAGAAGGAGAAGGAGAAATTGGAGCAATTGGATAAGGAGGAGGAGGAGGAGGAGGAGGAGGAGGAGGAGGAGGAGGAGAAGGAGAAGGAGGAGGAGGAGAAGGAGGAGGAGAAGGAGAAAGAGTTTCATCGTCGCAGCTGCAAGAAGTTGTAAGCCCCCATCTTGTCTGAAGTCGCTGAGAGGTCGAGGAGGGAGGGAAGGGATGGAGCAATGTTGGAACCTGCAAGGCAAGCATGAGAAGGGGAGGAGACGTCAGCAGGTAGTCACAACAACTCAGTTTTGTTCATGAGGATGATCGGATGAAGAGCAAGAAGACAGGAACAGAAGTGTTCGAAACACATGTCAAGTGGCATACAAGTACAATTACATCAACGAGAGTACAAGTGCTACCCATGTCTGTACCTTGCAACGTGAAATAAAGAGGGATGCTCGACTTTCTTTCTGCTCTGCTTCTCCCTTGCAAGGATTTCCAGCCTTGATTGCTCGCTGACAGGATATGATGAGAATTTCGAGAATTACTAGAGAAGGTGGAGAAGAAGAAGTGGTGGGACTCAGGTGAGGAGGCGATTGGGAAGGAAGGAAACCAGGGTGGTGGTGGAGGAGGAGGAAGATGGGAGAGCAAGGAAGAGGGAGAGCGGAGGAGGAGGGAGAGGGGAGGAGGAGGGAGGAGGGAGGAGGAGAAGCTACATGATGTTGACGTTATGCTCGCTGGTTCTTCATCCTGTTTGAGCTCTGTCATCAAAGGCAACGAGGAAAGAGAGACAGACCAAGTTAGCATGAGGCGTGATGAGAACAGTTCTTTGCCGCGGATCTCTCAGCTTTGACGATCTTGATATGTGAAAGCTAAGATGAGACGAGATTTTTCACATGTTCTGTTTGAAACGACAACTCACATCATCTTCTTGCTGGTTGCTGTTTGCAAATCATCACAACATGAACATCTGGCAGCATTTTTACCTTTCGCATGCTTGTCGAACAAGTCCGAACTTCTTCTCAACAACCTGTCTGCGTCAACTGGCAAATAAATTCAGCAAACCTGCTGAATCTCGTCACCTTGATAACATTTACCCGCAGTGACCAGCGCAGATCGAGGTCGCGCAAGACGATGATGGTTGCGATCCTTGTGTGTTGATAGAGAGGAGGAAGAGGAGGAGGAGGAGAAAGGAGGAGCAGCGAAGGAAGACAAGGAATGAGCAGAAGTTGAGGAGAGAGGAGGAACAGCGGAAGCAGGAGCAGCAGCGAAGGAGGAGGAAGGAAAAGCAACTGAGGAGGCAGGATGCTGTTGAACAAAGGGACGTTTGCTTGTTGGTAAGGCCAATCTGTTTTGCAAGGGTCCTGCGATCCCTTCTTCCTCCCTCTTGCGATCATGTTGCTGTGCGCCCACTTTCATGCTCTGCTCGGTGCTGCTCCTCTCCTGCTCCTGCCCCTGCTCCTTCTCTTGCTCCTTCTCTTGCTCCTTCTCTTGCTCTTGCTCCTGCTCCTGCTCGTGCACCTGTTCCTCCCTGCAAGTTGTCTGCCCATGGCCCTGCCCCTTGCTCCCTCCTTCTCGAGTCTCCCACCTCTCCGCGTTTGCCTCCTGCTCCTCCCTCAACTTCGTCGCTATGAGGAGGATGTTGCTCGACCGGATCTGCCTCGGAGAATCTGCGAGTGAAGTCAGTCAACAAGAACCGACTCATCGGATCAGCTTACAAGCTCTTCCTCCTTCCTCCCCTCCTCCTCTCTGCGCCTGCAGCATCCGTCGCGTCAGCTGCACAGCATGGCGGGTGTACCGTAGACTACCTTCGCTTCATCCTCCGTCTTTCCTGACGACCTTTCAACTTCATCGTCGTCAGCATCTCCCGCCTGGCATGGTAGGGCATGTCAAGATTTTATCTTCTCCTCCAGCGATGAAAACAAACTTGCCTGCTGCATATCTTTGTCCGCTGCTATTTTAGCTTCTACACCGAACAGGTCAGTTTCATCACAACAGCATCGGCAGGTTCAGACCTGATCTTTCCGCTTCGACAACCTCGGAGCTTCTTCTCAGCTCGCCAATCTCCCTCTCCCTCCTCGCCATCTCCACCTGCAGCTCCTGGACCAACCTCCTGCTCGCAGCCAGCTTCTCCCTCATCACTGAGTTGTCGTTCTCTGCCTCTTGGCACCTCGATCGCATCTCCTGCCATGCATGCTCCTCTTTCGCCTGCTCCTCCTCCATCCTCCTCGCGCTCCGCTCGCTGGCGAGCAGCTTGGCTGTGAGGGTCGTCACCGTGAGGTCCTGCTCCTCCAGCCTCGCGCTGACTTCCTTCACTCGCTCCTCGCTTCCTGCCATCAGACTCCGAGACGTCACATGGCTCCATCGGAAGAAGAGGAGGAACAGCTTCGCTCGCTCCCTTCTCCTGCGATGTACCGTCGAGACCTCCTCTTGATGTTTCCCCTCCTTCGTTTCCCTCACCACCTCCATCCATTCATACATGTACCTCGCCCTCCTCCCTGACCTCTTCCTCTCCTCCAGGTTCCCTTGCACTCTGCTCGTCCACCGAGCACGACAATCTCGATCGCGGCAAGTGACGAGGAACGTCCGCAGCATCTGCCGCAGGAACCGTCTCTCCTTCCTCTGTTGGAACGTCTCCACTGCCTTCATCACGACCCTCCTCTTCATCCGATCCTCCGCGTTCGCTTCTATCGCCCTGAAGCAGACCAGCACATCCTTTCTCAGCTTCTTCCTCCTCGCAAACTCCTTCACCTGCCCGACAAACCTCCTCTTGAACGACCACCCTGACCACCTCACCAGCATCGTCAGGAGTTCAGGGTGCATCTTTCGACTCTCTATCTCCCTCTTCTCAAGGAGCCTCTTCCTCAGCTCCCCCATCCTCCTGCTCGCAGCAAGCGTTCTGGTCATGTCAACAAGCTGCTCCTCCATCTTCTCCTGCTTTCTCCCCATCTGCACCAGGTCGCCTTTCATTCTCACGATGTCCCTGCAGAAGATCTCGATGTCGTGCTTGGCTGCCTTCAACTCCTCTTCCAGCGGCTGCAGCCGTTTCAGCTCCTTCTGCATCAGCATGAACCTCCCCCACAGCTTCTCGTGCATCCCCTTCCACTTGGTATCGGAGGCTGAAAGCGTCTCTACCTTGCCCTCCATCGCCTCCAGCTTCTGCTCGACGCTTCTCTTCTCCTCCTTGAGACTCTCAATGAACTTCATCTGCACGCGCTTCATCGCCACCAGCGAGTCGATCTCGCTCCTGTTCGCGGCCAGCTGCCCCTCCATCTTCCTGCACGCCCTCTCGCTCTCCAGCAGTCTCGAGCTGAACTCCAGCCGAATGTTCTCCTGGGCCTCCTGGATGCTCTTGAAATGCTCCCTCGCCTTCTTCGCGTACTCCTCCGACTTCCTAGCCTCCAGGCTTGACCTCCAGGATTGGAACGCTTCCTCCACGTACATCATCCTCCACTCCCGCGCAAAGTTCTCCTGCATCCTCCGCAGCTTCCTCCTCTCTTTTGCGCAGTCCCTCCACAACCCCAGCAGCAACGCGGTCCCCCTCCCCATCCACCTCTCCGCCACTCTCTTGCAGATCTTTCTCAGTCGCTTCGCGTTGTGCGCATGCTCTGCCCAAAGCTCGAACCTCCCTCCTGCCACGTAGTCGAACACCATCCCCTCAAGGATCGCCGTTCCCTTCCTCTCAGCCTCCCTCCGTGTCACCTCCGCCTCCTCCGGCGTCTGCGTCAGCCTCAGCGCAGTCCTTTGAATGATCTTGTGCAAGTCCTCTGCTTCCTTCCTCGACTTCTCCAGGTCACCTTCCGCCTGCTCCAGCTGCATGCGCTTCCCCTCAAGCTGCGTCTGCAGCTTTTGTATCTTCCCCTGCGCCTCCTGCATCTCCTGCTCCACCCGCGCGACCTTCGCCTCTAGCGGCACACGGAAGTCGTTCCACCACCTGTCATTCTCCTCCGTCTCCCGCATCGCTTGCTCAAGTTCTCTCCTGCAGGTCCGCATGTCTTCCTCGAGGGCATCCACCATGACTTGCTTGTACTTCACCTCCTCTAGCAGCCTTCTCAGTCTCTCATCTGCCTGCTCGTCCTGCTCCGTCCCTTCTGCTGCCTGTACACTTGCAGCATCGGTCTCCGGTGGCACTCGTTTCAGCTGGAAGAGAACAGGACCACAGAGGAAGGGATACTCGTCCTCCCCCTCAAACTTTGCCGTCCACATCCCCGCAATGTGCCTCCTTACAAGTACCCCGACCTTCCCTCGGAACCGTTTGAATCCTTCCCAGTCATCAAATTCCTCTGCGAGCACAACCCGCACCCCGCTGAAAGTGCTCGCGTCCCCATCGCTGACGTACATCCTCTTCTCATCGTCCTGCTTCTTCCTCTCCCTTTCCTCCATGAGCTTGAACCCCATCTGCAACAGCTCCTGCTCATGCTTCGACTGCGTTGTCCACGGTGTCACCGACAACACACCCTCATCCTACTCTTCACCTTCTTCCATCGCCGCTGGTCTGTGGAGACCATGTCGTACTTCCTCGAGACGCTCTCTCGGCAGTTACTAGCCTCCTCGTTCCAGACCACAAACATCTGCACGAACACATCGCAAACAAACGCGGTAAGTCCCAACTCCCCCATGATCACACAGGGCTCGACCTCTGAGGCCTTGTCTAAACTCTGCTCAAGAAATTCCTGGTCATGATCACGTTCAGTCTGCAAGAGGTGCAGCTCCAAGGCACAGACCAGGCGAAGCTTTGGATCGTATCTCGTGTGCATTCCAGCATTCCACCTTTTCATTGAGATATCTGACAACAACAGGTCACCATGTCGTGCAGTCGCTCTTCGACATTGTGGATCTCACTTCTCTCCATCTTGATCGTGGCCTTTCCCTACCTCCTCAAACCTGAGGACCTGATACGATTGACATGTAAGGGTTGCTCAGGAACTGATCCTCAACCGCACCGAGATATTTGCTCTTGAGCTGTCGGAAGGTAATGTACACTGACAACCTGGGCACACTGTCCTCTCCTCTCCTCTCCTCTCCTCTCCTCTCCTCTCCTCTCCTCTCCTCTCCTCTCCTCTCCCGGGTCGCCTGAGGAGTCCTCAGTCTCAGGGCCTCGGGCCTCTGAGAACGGTCTCCTCTCCCGGCTCCCTCCCCGCCTCTCCTCGAGTCCACGTACAACTTTGATCACACCGTTTCGTGCTGTATCGTATCACGCCATCACCAGTCGCTGGCGCCCGTCACGCCGAGCCATGACATCGGCACCGCCACCGGGCGCCGCCATCAACTCAATGACTTGCAGGCGGTTGAAAGACGGTGAAAATCGATCTTCAACCCCGCCTCAGAATTCTTCGACTTGGCTCTCAGTAATGAGGGGCATCTGCTCCGCAGCCTCCGAGGGCCCGCCGGGTCATAAAATGGATTTTAGAAATTAGTAAAGTACCGCAGGCTAATTGGGGCACCACCGGGTGGTTTGACCAGTGCATCCGAAGATGGAGGCAATCCCAACTCATTCCGCTGACAGAAAGGAGTCTAAATTTAGTACAAAACTGGAACTGAGAGGGATGGACCCTACTGATCTAACACATTCCTAGGACCGAGCCTAGGACCCCCACACACAAGATAATTAATACCCCAAATTGGCTTGGGAGAACACACCGGTGTAATTGTGGTAAACTGGGTGGGTGCGGGGTGCAGTCAGATATCACGGTGTACCCCTGTATTCCGATACAAATACATGGGTGGGTCCGGAAGGACGTAATGAGAAAAATCGGGGTGGGGTGGATATCAAGTTCAAACTTGCATATGACTGACAAAGGGTAGAGTACTTAGAGCTGAAGAGGGGGGTAGGGGTATCGTGGTCATTTCAACCAGAACAAGTGTGGGTCAAATGTGAAAATGGAAGTCAGATGTCAAGGAAAGGTGGGGTCCGTAATACGGAGAAAGGGGGGTCAGCAAGAAAGGGGGGTAGTCTTGATAATGGGTTTTGGATGAAAAATTCTTCCTTGACCCTCTGAAGCCGAAAGAGGGAGGGTCGGTTGGGAAAAATGCTTCCGCATGGAGGGCTGATAGCGGCAGTGCATGGGAGGAGGAGGAGACGAACTAGCGTGTCGGAGGAAGATGAGCATGACTACACAAACCTTCTCGAACCAACTCAGATCTTCAAGGATAGGATGGACGCGGTTGACTCCGTGCTCGAGGATCTGGAATCTCAATCGATTTTTGGTCCGGCCAAGAAGGAGGCAGCGCAAGTTGAGATCAGTGCGATAGAGGGCCTGCTGGAACAGGTGGAGAATAAGATAGAGAGGTCGCAGGCATACTTCAAGCTTGGAGGAACAGCAACCTTCTTCATCTTGTTCGCCGTCTTGCTGTTCACCCAAAGGAATGTGTCCGATTCTTACGACATGGAGAGCTCTATCGTCAACCTGATTGTTGGGCAGCTGCCGACGCTGGGAACGGGGGGATACACCAACTCAGGGGTGGGGGCAGCAGGGTCACTTAGCAGTGCCAGCGACTTCTACACATGGCTGTCAACAGCAGTCATCGCCAACGTTTTCAGCGATCCCATTTGCGGGGACGGCTCGTGCGATGCGCCGGACGAGTATGCCGGGTTTGGGAGGTTCGGGTGCGTAGCCGACTGCGGAAACTATCTGAACGTCACAGAGATAACGATTAACCTCCAAGATGTCATCGCCACAAGCTCTGATAGCCTTGGATGGGACGTGTCTGGAATAACGAGGATTTCCTCTTCCCAGAAGGCTGGGTTCAAATACAACATCTACAGCGAAACGATGGGCGATTTCCTGTTTGCAGATGACCAGGACTCATCGACGGGGCTGAGCGTCACGACGGACGTCCCTGACGGCGTTCTCACGCTAGTCCTATACCAAACGCAGAAAACCAGCAGCCTTGTCGACGCCAACACCATTCACAACTTCTATCCCTTCGTACTGAGGTGAACCGTGTCTTGTCTTCCTTGCTGTGCGATGGAGATGAGAGTTTGATCGCAGCACAATACCTGATCGAAATACTTTGAGCGACTACCAATACGGCGATCAGAGGGAATACCTCTCCTCTTCGTTCCTCATCCTCCAAGGGATAGAGAACTATTGCTACTCATCCGGTCCAGCCATGCCCCCCAAGTGCCAGTCCTTGAATTCTTTCGGTCTTATTTCCATCTCTTTTTGCATGTTGGAAGCTGACGTCTTGAGTTGCACGGCAGACATGTATGTGCGACTCTTGTCCAGTTACGGAGTAAACGGATCGATCACCATGAAGTCTTCAACCTCGAACAAGAATTACGACACTCTTGCTTCGGTGACGCATCCTTGCGCAATACTCTTCCTTCTCCTATCAAACCTTACATCTCCGATGTCGTGAACAGGTCATGTTCTGCTCTGTCATCCCGAACACCACAGGGGGGTCGGCTGCCTCAGCGAACAAGGCGTACTTCCAGAGTGCCAGGACCTCTTGTCAATCTGGACAGGCACGCTCGGCATCAAAGTTGCCGCAACTCTCGGACTCGAAGACGTTGATTAGAGAGGAGAGGAAGGGAAAGAAAATCACTCAGGAGGAGGAAAAGATTGTCGGTCGCTCAATGCGCTTGCATGCAAAGGAGGAGAACATCATCCAAGGGGATGAAACAGGTACAGAGCTCGTGCACATGATCAGGAAACGCCCTCAAGCGAGCGCTATCAATGCTTCGCACCAAAATTTCCATCAACTCGCAGCTCCGGGTCAGTCTCCATTCGCTTCGCCGACATGCACCGCCGCGACGCAGAGTTTCCCCCTCCTCTATGTTTATCCTTCGCAGACTGTTCAGACCTGCTTGATGTTCTCGACTGCAGGCTCGAGCCCTCTCTACATCTTGACTTCTTACGAGGACCAGATTGGCCAGAATAATCTCAATCTACTGAACCCGTCTGGTGGTGGGTTTTATATCTCAGCAGCCAACTTCACTCAGATGAGCATTCCCAACTTCAATTTTCAGCTTGCTGTGCAGAGCGCGCAGCCTGGAAAGCCGGGATCCTTTCTTCACTCTTCGAAACCGTATGCGATGCCCATTTCGTCGCCGTCTGTCTATTTCTACATCACAGTAACTCCGACCGATTACCTTTGTTTGAGTTTCTCGGAGTCTGACTGCACACCTCCGAGCGACCCGCAGATTGTGGATTCCTTCAGTCTTCCTGTTGTCGTAGTCCAGAGCTCCGTTGGGCAGGGCGCAAACTCAAAAACTTTGATTTCACTCTCCATCCTGCCTTCGTCCAACGGATCGACTGTGAGTTTCTCAACGTCGAGCAGTAATGCTCTGTCATGTAGCAATGCGACAAGCTCAGGAAGTTTGTTCTTCTACGATGACTCTGCTTCTCAGCTGACGGGCTCAAAACTGACCGTGTACGCCATGGCTTGCAAGAATGGTTTAACGAGCAACGTGGTCAGTCGAAGTTGGAACATTTTCCCGTCGCCCTACGTGTCTGTCAGCTTGAAAGTGGACGCATTGACCTCCACAAGCTTCAGCGACACGTTGTTGGAGTACATGAAGACAGCGATCTCTCAGGTGGTTGGATGCAACAAACTGCAGGTGCTTTCTTTGTCGGTCACCACTGAAACCAGCAACACAACAAACTACACGTCTGCTTATCTCAGTCTCAAGATCCTTACTGATTCCAACGTGGATGTGGTCCAGTACAACAAGTCAGTGGTATCAAACATCATGACGATCTCAAGCAAGTTCAAGACACTTGCAAACGTTAACGCGACAACCTCCATCAGGGCGACCTCGATCACTTCGAAGCTGTCCTACTCGAACGAGTTCAAACCGTGTACCACACACTATGACTGCACCAGCGGGTTGTTCTGCGCCACACAGCAGAGCTCCACCGGCTACATCTGCCAGCCATGTGCAACTTGCGTCATCGACTCGAGAGACTCTTACAACGGAGTCTGCCCTCAGGACCTCTGCCCTAACTCAGGAGGCTATCCCCGCTGCGTTGACGCCTCCGCCTTCCTCGCCCCCCTCGAAAGCACCTGCTCTGACCATCACGCCTTCTCCATATGGAAGTACGGGACACAGGCGGAGGGCAGCCCTCAGGTCATCCCCTCCTTCACTCCCAAGGTGAGGGAGCTGACGCCCTACAATCGCCTCGTCGGTGCTGTCGTGATCACGCAAACGAGGATGAAGCGAGGCTCCTGCCTGGACAACATGAAGGGGGCGGACGTCCGGCTCTTCACCTCGTCGGCGGGCTCGGGCATCAACTGCCCCCTTGCCAACCAGCTGGACTCTGAGCCCTTCGGGTACGACCCGACCTTCATGACGTTCAGCTCCATCTACAACGGCAAGCTGCGGCCAGAAGTCTTCTACGGGAACGGCGAGAGGTACAACTCTTCGACGTCGGGAGGGACGGGGTATGGCTACCCCAAGGGCTTCTACCCGCAAAAGTACGACCAGAATGCTCTTGACACGAACATGGATGGCATGCTGAGTCCGCAGGAGGTAACCAGCGGGGCAACAACCTCCTTCTTCACCAAGGCGTCCAAGTACATCGACTCGGGCGAGCAAGACACCTTCAAGCTGTACTTCGACGAGAGGCTGACGTACAAGCAAGCGCTGAAGATGGTCCAGTTTGCCCAGGACGGGAAGTTCATCGACTCGCAGACCAAGGAGATCAAGGTAGAGATTGTGACTTACAATGCCGTCAAGGACATCTTCATGTACTCCAACTTCGTCTTCGCGTGGCAGGCGGGAGGAAAGATCCCGTGGGACTACTCCATCAACACCATTTCCGTTGACAAGATCCTCTCTCCCTCACACGTTCAGATTATCCTGATGGTGATAATCGTCGTCTTCCTGATCTTCAACTGCGCCTACGAGTTCAGAGACATCCTTATCCAGGCAAGGAAGTTCGCACTGCACGACTACCTAGCCGATCCCTTCAACTGGATCGATCTTGCTCACTTCTTCTTCATGTGGGGCTCAGTCTTCTCCTGGTTCATGTACCGGCAGAGCACTCTTACCTTCAAGCTCAGCCCCAACTACCCAATCCTCTTCTACGGGCCCGAGTACAGCGCCGTCAACTCAACAAGAAGGTCGATCCCCTTCGAAGCTCCCATCAGCGCGTCCAACTTCGCCAAGGCCAGAATGTTCCGCACCAACAATGCGGCGGAGTACGACTTCTTGCAGCTGATCAACGCGATGCGAGTGATCTCGAGCAGGATGGAGTTGTACTCCTTTTTCTCTGGCGTCGCCGTCGTCCTCTTTGTCATGAGGATGCTCAAATCGCTCGACTTTCAGGAGAGGATGGGGATGGTCACCAGGACCATTGCGAGGGCCGCCAGCGATCTGTGGCACTTCGTCCTCCTCTTCTTCATCGTCTTCGTCGGCTACGCCATCGTCGGAGTCCTCTTGTTCGGTCATCAGTTCGAGGTACGAGGTTGCCTGTCCTGACCTCTTGTTCTTCTCTCTTTCGTTTCTTCCTCCCCTCCCTCCCCCTCTTGTCTGTTCTCCACCTTGCTGGTACTTTCTCCGCCAACCCTTGTTCAATCCCGTCCCTCGCTTACCCTCCGCTCCGACAGGGCATGCACGACCTCTCACATTCCTGCATCACTCTCACAATCTTTCTGCTGAGTTTGGATGCAACCCAATTCTACTCATCGGTAAGTCAAGTCCGCTATCCTCGTCACTTCATTCTCACCAGCTGGCAGATGTCGCATGCCGCTACTCCTCTTGCCTTCTACATCTTCCTCTGGTCTTACATCTTCATCGTTTTCTTCATCCTCTTCAACATCTTCCTCGCCATCCTCGTCGATGCGTACGCCACCGTCAAGCAGGCGACCGATGGATCGACGGGTCTGTTGGAGGAGCTTGCCGGTGTCATCTGGCACGCAGTCCGACGCGTCCTCCCCTTCGGCTCCCGCTTCCTCTCGGACGAGCACTTCCAGCGGATCCTCAAGGATGAGAAGACCAAGTTGGGGCAGGGGCAGAGGATCCAGTCGGAGATCAACCGCAAGCTGGAGGACAAGAAGGAGATCTTGCTGCGCGGAGGAGTCAGGGTCGACCTCAACAACCTGCAGCGGATTGTGCAGCCTGGCAAGGTCAGAGGGAACTACCAGGTCAGCCCCACGGAGGCAGAGAACGATGCCAAGGGGGCAGCAGAAGCTTCGGCAGAGGCTTTTGCAGACGATATGGTGCTGGACGTCATGGACAGGTACGGAAGCAACGTGCTGGAGCACAGGGAGAGGAGGAACCATGAGTTCAAGGAGCTTGTTGGTATCGAGAATATGAGGTAACGTCTGCTGCCCGGCATATCCCCTCGCTCCCCTCCCCTTGCTCATTTCACTGCTATCTATCCCATCATCTTCCTGGTCCCCTCTCTCCTTCCATGACTCCTCCCGCTGCTCTTCCATCTGACATCGCACCCAGGCGCCTGCTTGTTATGAATCTCCTCCAGATCAACGTGCTGGACGAACAGAAACGCATCGCCGACGTCCTCGAGTCCATGGCCGTGAAGACTTTCGGCTCAGTCCCTGAGCACAAGCGCAGCCTCCTGAACCCCTCGGCGAGGGTCGTGAGCAGACTTGGAGAGCTCCACGTCACCGTGGTCAGCGCCACGGGTCTCCCTCGCATGGATCTCATCCGCAGCTGCGATCCCTACTGCGTCCTCTACATCGATGGCCATGGCGACCAGCAGACGCACATCACCGAGACGGTACCGAAGAGTCAGACGCCTCACTGGAACGAGAAGTTTGTGTGGGATCTCTACACTGACACCCGGATCGTTACAATCTCATTGTGGGACAGAGACAATGTACGTCGCCCGCCTCTCCTCCTCCTCCGTCGCTGCTTCACTTTTCTATACTCCCCTCTCTCCTCTCCCCTCTCTCCTCTCCCCTCTTCCCACTCCTCCTTACCTTCTTCCGCTCCCTTCATCCCTTCTTAATCTGCAATCTCCTTTCATCTCTCCTCTCCTTCTCCCTCCTGCCTCCCCCTCCTCGCTCTCCTTTCGCTTAGTGGCCTCACGCATCCTGCAGGTGACCAAGGACGATCTCATCGGCACTGTGCTGGTTGACCTGCGAGATCTCGAGCCAAACTCGTTCGGCAAGCAGCTCGACCTCAACCTGACAAACGCGAGGAAGGCAAAGAAGCTGAGGAACGCAAAGCTGCAAGTGATCTTTCAGCGGCGAAGAGACGGGGAGACTATGGATTCTATCCAGGAGGAGAGTGCAGGAGAGGCTGGGGGGTCGATGAACGGCAGCAGGAAGCAACAAGGGGAAGGGCCGCCGGACTCGATCAACGGGAACGTGGAGGGGAAGGTGGAGGGGAAGGTGGAGGCAGCTAACGGGAAGAGCGGAGACGAAGAAGTGGACAGCGCGTTGAGAGAAGACATCGATAAGATGACTGAAGAGCTGGAGGATAGCTTAAACCTTTCAGACTAGCGCGGGGCGTCAAGATACTCTGTCTGGCTGGTCGGAGGTGGCCGGCACATGTAGCTCTCTCGACATGTACAGATCAAACATTGGTGTACTCTAGATAAACTTCAGCATGATAAGGGGATGAGAAGGAAAGGGGGACAACAAATTTGCATGAGAGCGTTTGTTCGCTCTCTGACAAGTTTTCATGTACAGCTAAAGTGTTGAAAAGAAAGGAGTTTATTTACAAGGCAATGATGGAAATGATAGTGTACATCCAGTTCTCTTATCAGTGTACAGCTAGTTCTCTTGGTCGCTTCCCCCTTCCTCGTCCTCCACTGGCGCCGTTCTACATCCCACAGCAGGAAGATTCCACGGCTGGGATTTGATGAGGAAGATTGATCGCTGCAGGGCCATCAGTCGCTTCATCTTCCACTCGCTCAGTGGAACCAGCCCTGTGGAGCTCTCGCAAGCACGCAGGTCGTCCAAGGACAAAGAGCGCGTCATCCCATACTCGCTTCCTCTTGTAGCCACGTCAATCTCATCGGACGCTGGCAGATCGGCTCTGATATCGTGGAGTGACATGTTGTATGCTGAACGGATGTATGATTACTAACACACTTGTTGCGGATATCCTTCGCTTCCGAGCAATGTTGGTCCCAGCGTCGATAATAATCGCTAATGCAATAATCGCTAATGCTCAAGGAGATAGTCCAGGGAGAGGGTTCCAATGCAGTGAAGCAGGTGGAGAAAGAGGACAGAACCGTGAGGAGACTGAAGGGTGTCTTGATGTCTTCTACCACAGTGTGGTACGATAGGCCGAGAGAAGGACGGAGGGTCGCTGTAGATTGCTAGCAGTATTTCATACACTGATGGGGAGAGGGGCGACAGGAAGGTTTGAAACAGTCGGAAAATCGCAGCGATTCGTATCTGTGCCTTGAACAAGTCAGATACAGTAAGGGGGGTAGTGGAGTGTGAAGGTAGTGGGGGTGAAGCACCTCCGGTACTTTTATCTGGAATATTTGTATATAACAAGGGGGTCCACAAGCACAAAGGTGGGTCCTTGTGAAGAAGTCGTGCGTTAACAGAGTAGGTATGAGTCATATTGATGGTACTTAACGAAAAGATTTCTCTTCGTACCTCAACCTTGTGATCTCTTCGAACCGTTCCGTTCTGTAAGATTCATTCGTAGGGAGGAGGCTGGACCCTCGTGATCATGTCCTAAAGCACCGCATGCCCGTGGTCGTTCAGAGGCCGCTGACATGAGCACGTGGCCGTACGGGGCTGCGACTGTTTGGTTTCAAATGCTGTTGTAAAACAACGTTTCGGAGAAAGGGATTCGAAAATTCTCTTTTCAGGGCTAACCACCGCTTGCACGTCTTATAAAGACAACGATTCGAAGATATCCCTATAACGGTTTGCAACCAAGGATAACACCAGGGGCCCCTACCCCTCGTCTTGAGTATCGAGTACCCGGTACCAAGACGAGAACAATCAAAGCGCCGGACAGGTATCGGCGACAAATTCCGGGGCGATCACGAGGACTGCCAGGGTGGCCGCGCCTAGCGGACACACGGACTCCTGGAGGCCGATGTTCGAGCTTTAAGTCACGAGGGCTGCAGATTCGCATTGAAAAAATTAAAAGTCAGCCAGTCATATAGTCACGTAAAACTCAGTTCAACGCGGCCGTGGCCGGCGCCGGCCCGGCTCGCCACCGTGACGGTGGGCACTGCGGCAGTGCGGCAAGCCGCCCGGCGGTCGCTCGCCGGCGGCCGGCGGCCCCGGCGTGACAGTCCCCGATCGCCGGGCCCGGCCGGATTGACAGGCAGGGGGGGCGCGCCCGGGCAACTTATCAAGTTTCCGAAGTTCAAGTTTCGAAGTTCCGAACGACGACGGCCGCCCCCGGCCCGCCCGGGCCGTCGTATACGGGCCCGGCGTCCCGGCGACGGTACGGTCCCAGCCGGGCTCCCGGGCCGCGATGGCGCCCGGAGCCCGACCTCCGGCGAGTCCGGGAGGTCCTCCGAAGAACGAAAAAGCGATAAAAATAGCGGAGGGCAACAATATGAACCGTTGTGGTATCAATTGACAGCAGTGCATCCCTATTTATAGGAAGGAGCAACAATGTGAACCGTTGTGGTATTAGGTCAAAAGCAGGCCTATTTATAGGAAGGAGCAACAATGTGAACCGTTATGGTATTAGTTCAAAAGGCAGGCCTATTTATAGGAAGGGGCAACAATGTGAACCGTTGCAGTACGCATACTGAAGCAGGCTATTTATAGGAAAGGAGCAACAATACGAAACGTTGCGATATCGTCAGTTGAGTTAGGCCTATTTATAGCGGAGGGCAACAATTCCAACGGTTGTAGTTTTAGACTGAACATTTTCCAAGCTCACCTCAGCCTTAGGGTCATACCAAGTCACTGCAAGGGCATTGAATTCGTATAAGGAAAAATCAGCTTTCTAATTTCACTGCCCTCAATTTAGTACCCTACAAGGACACCCGATGATGTTTCAAAGGCATGGCGGACGAGGAACAAGAGGAAGGTTCCGTAGGGATCAAGAGTGTTCAGAAGGAAGGGAGGAGGGGAGGGAGGACGAGAGTGAGAAGGGGAGGGAGGACGAGAGGAAGGAGGGGAGGGATGAAGAGAAAGATGTCTAATGCCCTCTTCTTCGTTCTTGATACCCATATCATACCTGTACTGTATCTACCCTTACTGGATGATCCTTTCACTATCATTCATATACTTTTCATTCGCATTCTTGGATTGCCAAAGTTCTTCACTGCTGCCCTCTTGAAGATTGCATTTGCGCAAAATCTTCGTAGTTTCTTCTATCTCGCATTCCTCTGATTGCTTGTACTAAGCTTTATTCTACCCTCGTACTAGATTCAACTCCGTTTCACTTTTCTCCTTTACACCTCTTAGTTTAAGATCGTTTTCTTTCTGATGTGCGACAATAGACAGCATGGCCGGACGCGTCGTACTGTTCCTCTCTCTCCTCCTTGCCGATGCATCAGCGTTCTTGCCGAGCTGCCACGTCGGTAGTAGGATGAACATAGGGCGGCACGAGCTAAGAATGAGCTCATCCTCCTCCAACGATCAGCGAGTACTCTTACGTCAGGGTCTGCTTCAGGTAGTCGTTTCCTGTCCGAAACCATGCCCGTGCTCACGAGCGTTCAGTTGTGCAAGTCGGGACCCAAGAACGGAGTCGGGGCGAGCGAGGACTTGATCCTGTCCGTGAAGGAGAAGGCGACGGAGCTTGCAAAGCTGAACCCAACGCAGCGGCAAGCTACCAGCCCGATGCTGGACGGCAAGTGGTGAGCAAGGGGGGAGAGGAGGGAGGGGAGGAGAGGAGGGAGGGCAGAAGGGAGAGTGCCCTGAGACAGAGAAGGGAAGGAGAAGAACAGAACTTTGGGGTGAAGGAGATGCCGATGTGGATCGGGGAAGAGTTGATTTGAATTGTTTCCTGTCTCACCATTCCGGGCAGGAGGCTTGTCTTTAGCACGACGAAAGGACCCAGCAGCGGCATGCTCGGGCCGTTCGTTGGAGATGTGTTTCAGGACATTGTGCTTGAGCAGGAGAAGTATTTCAACATCTTGGAGTTGGGTTTCGTTGAAGCCGTCCTGTCGGCTCACTGGGACGTGATGGGGCAGGAGAAGTGGAGAGTCTTCTTCGACGACATCCAGTTCAGGTTGTGTGGACATGTTGACTCGTTGCCTGCTTGTGCATAGAGGGAGGAAGATGGAGGAGGGTTGAGCGTGAGTTGGACAAGGAAGACGAGAAGTAGAAATTAAGGGATATGGTGGATTTGGTACCAGATAAGTCAGTGATGATGCGTTGTAACTCTACTTGTTGTCCTCCATGCTTCCCTGGAATGGGGTGCCTGTTTGTTTGGATCCTTCTCCCTTTCCCGCCTTTTCTCCTTTTCCCGCTCTTCCTCTACCTTCCTGTCTCAACATCTGCCTCCCCTACTCTCTCACCCCCTTGTTTGACTCGCTTCTGATTCTTCCATCAGTCTATTCGGCATCCCAGTCTTCAAGAAAGAATTCTCCTCTTCTCAACGCGACCAAGTGTTGGAAGGGTTGGACACGCTGGTATTGCACTTCCGCTCTCCCTCCCGTTGTCGCCATCACCACCTGCTCCTCCACCTTTTCCTCCTTCTCATCACCCCCATCGTCCTCCTCGCCCTGCTACACCTCTTTCTACTGCTCCTTCCACTCCTGCTTCACCTCCTGCTCTTCGCCCTCCTCTGGTTCAATGCCTCCTGCCCATGCCCCAATCGACCTCCGCGTCTGTCTCTCCTTGCTCAGAATGTTTGCAGGGTGGAACAGAAAAGGAAGCGAGGAGTTCCAACAACGGGGGAATCTGTGAGGCTGAGGGAGGAGGAAGAGGAGCAGGGGGCGAGGACAAGGGCGTGAAGGAGGAGGAAGAGAGGACAGAGGAAGAGGATGTGCCGCTGACGCATGCGAGCAGGGGACATGGCCTACTGCAACGACACACTCCGCGTGCTATGGTGAAGCATCAACTAGTCATGTGAGACTTGAAGTTGGGCTGAAAGAAAAGGTGGTGGCAGGGCGTACGGGGTCCAGCGCGAGGCCAGCAAGGCGAGCATCTACGTACTGGAGAGGGAGAAATGAGATGAAGAGTGAGATGTTGGACGAGAGAAGCCTGTATTTGGCTCATGATCAAACCATCTCGATCCTTTCAAGTTGCCTCAGGCAGTCCCTCCTCCGAGTCCGCTAGCCCTCCGAACGCTCAGGCACTTCAAGTTGCTCACCGACTCCCGTACTATCACCTCCGGAATGATTAGTAGGCTTAGACTTCAGGCTTCGACGGACGGGCGCTGGCTTGACTCAGTGACCAGTAGGGTCCGAATCAGTGCGGCGGCGAGCCTCGGCCTCCGCCGCCATCGGCTCAGGCTCGCCGACTCGGAACTTCAAGCCTACGGGCCCGGGCCCCCGACTCGGACTTTGTCCGATCGGCTCAGTTACCGTACAGTGAGACCGTCACGGCGTCTCGGTCAGCAGGCTCAGTCTGAGGCTCGATCGGACAGTCACGGCCGGGCCCGCCGGGCCACCGTCTACCGTACTATCATGGTGCCGCAGTGCCCGGTGACGCCAGGAGTCCGAAGTCCCGGCGGGACTCGGACCCAGTCCGACATAACTTCAGTGATCCGGGGGCGAGTCACACTGTGACAGTGCAAACTTGAAAACTGAGAGGCCCCGCCTAGTGACTGTGACTCGCGCGGCCCGGCCGCTCAGCGGCACTGCCGCTGAGCGGGCCCAGCCGGCGCGGGCCGCGCCGGCTGGGCCCGGCAGCCGGGGTGCTGAGCGGCGGGGCGGGCGGCCCGGCCGCGGCGGGGCCCGGAGTCACGGATTGCCACGGTACTGATCATCGGCGGACCGTCTCCGAGACTCCGTGAGCCGCCGGCGCGGCCGCGTGCCGCCAGTGCACGACCGTGCCCCGGGGCCACGGCGGCCCGGCCGGGGTGCCAGTGAGCGCCGGTGTGTATCGTGTATCGCACTGTCACATGGTGGCACCGGCCGGAGTCACGGTGCCGCAGTGCCACCGGGGGGTACGGGGTACGGTACTTAAACGATGCCACCGATGACGCGCCCCGCCGAGTACGCCCGTATCATTATACGACGGTACCGCCCACCCGGTCACCGGGGACCGGGCCCGGCGTACTACGCGGCAACGGATCAACTAGCCCACTGACCCCAGGTACTGATCGCCGCCGCTGCCACCGTACGGCGCCACTATCAGTATGGTACTACCGTAACGATACTACGCTATCGCCTACCGTACCGTAGTACCGTACTCGGATACTACTAGCTACCGCGGCTATCGCCTACCGTAACGATACTACGCTATCACACTACGGTAGTACCGTAACGATACTACGGTATCGCACTACGGTACTACCGTAACGATACTACCGGTATCGCACTACGGTACTACCGTAACGGTCGGATACTACCGGTATCGCACTACGGTACTACCGTAACGGTCGGATACTACCGGTATCGCACTACGGTACTACCGTAACGGTCGGATACTACCGGTATCGCACTACGGTACTACCGTAACGATATGTCGATCAGGCTCCCAGCTCCCGGCGGAAGTCATCTCGGACCACCCCCACCCACCCGGATGGCTTTCACTTTACTGCTACGGTACCGGCGGTACTACGGACTGAGTACGGCGGCCAGGTACTACGCGGCCGCCGGTACTACGGTACAGCCTTCACGGTCACCACGGTACTACGGTTACGGCTCTTCCTGCCAGGCTCAGTCCTTGGACCCTACCCTACCCTAATAGAGGTGCCCCGGATGGGCCGATCCCATCTCCCTGCTCCCAGCTAAGGCTCGCCGCAAGGAGAAAACCTATACCAGTGGCGCCTGCCCGGATCAGTGTCGGCGGAACGAGCACAAGTTGGAAGAGTTGTAGCATGGGGAACGTGACCTCCAGAGCTCGAGAGAGCACTGGCGCACCATCATACGAGGTGGACAAGGGGCTGACGTCACAAGTTCTCTACGAGGTGGAACAGATTCGGATCCAGACAGCGATCACTTCAGAGGCTAAGAACGATGTCGAGCACAACCAAATAGCAATCTCTTCAGAGGCTAAGGACGATGTCGAGCACAATCAAACAGCAATCACTTCAGAGGCTAAGGACGATGTCGAGCACAACCAGACCAATCAGACAGCGATCACTTCAGAGGCTAAGAACGATGTCGAGCACAACCAAACAGCAATCACTCCAGAGGCCGAGAACGATGTCGAGCACAACCAAACAGCAATCACTTCAGAGTCTGAGAACGAGGACAATAAGACTCAACCAGTCGACGAAGATGAAGATGGAGGGGACGGCGAAACACATACAAAAGAGGTTCACTTTGAAGACGAGGATGTGCTGAAGATTCGTCGTCACAAGTGGACTATTCGAATGTTACATGAACGTGACGAGCGCATGAAGAAAATCATCGAGGAGATGTCTGCTGGTCAACTCAAACACTTGCGCGATCAAGACCCCGATGACCTTGGTATGGACTATGCGAGACCCAAGAAGTATCGACCGTCAACAGATGATATCATATCAAGAATTGCCATAGGCTCTCGCATGTACAAATTCAGAGAGAAGACGAAATTACGAGCGCTCGCTGAAGATGAACGTGAAACGGTCATTGATAAAGTCGCGCAAGATCTCAACATTTCACGTGACGATATCGAAGGCATCGTCAAAGAGTTGATTGTCCATCAGGAGAGGCTGGACACCACTGCAAAGAATATTGAAGATTACAAGGCAGAAAAGGAAATTTCCCACCTACTATTGATGAGACTTGGCTCGCTGTTCGATTCAGATCAGGATTATCAAATCAAGTTCAAAGGTTACCATCAATTTCTTGAGTGGATCTTTGTTGTTGTCCTTGTTCTGGCAGCGCCTTTCATTTTCTGGTTGTTTCGAAATGGAACAAGTTCAGACTTCGTCCTTGCAAGCATCATCGGTATAGTTTCTTCAGTTCTGTCCATGGTCTTGAAGACAACATCCGAGTCTGTGCTGATGAAATCTATTCGATGCAACTTGCTGGTGAGTGTGATGGTTCGAATGCAGTGGGTAGTGATGATTATGGACACATTGGCGAATGTGAGGGCAAATGTCACTTGTATCAATATCCCCTCCCTTTCGCTGTCTTTGGTTTTCATTACTTTTCTGCAGCAGATCAACATTGTTGGCGGCAAAAAGCAGACCGTGAAACGAATGACTGAGTTCATCACTATTTGTTGTACCATTTACGCTGCAATCATTGCTCCGGTGCTGAGTTTCTTCGAGAAGTTGGCTCTTGTAATCTACATCATTTCAGGATTTGTAGACGCTCTATCGGATCAGATTGCCTTTCCATGGTCTGTGCAGGAGATTTACCTTGTGAAAGAAGACCAAGACAAGTCACCAAAATATCTCTCACTTATGGCCAGGATTGTTGTCTGCACCATAATCTCACTTGTGTCTGAGAAGGTTGCAGTGCTTTCATACAAGCCTTTGCCGTCGGAGACCGGTGTGTCCTATGAAATGCAAAAGATCAAGAGAGTTGTCACTCCTGTCCTGCCTGATGTCGCTATCAACTGCTCCGGTAACATATCGCTCACCATCACCGGAGAACCGATCACCTTCGACCCGACCGTGCTCGCCCTGCATGTCGCAAAGAAAGATTTCTGCGAACTGAGCATGAATCTAGACTCTGCCAAGATTTCCAGCAACTGTACCTTGTGGCCTTCTCTACCAGGATGCGAGGGGAAAGTCATTCCATTTTCCGGCATCATCGAACAAGGTCTGGGAGCGAAGGAAATCCGTTCATGTCTGCAGATCAATCAAGAATGCGGCTCAGAAACAAGCTGCGGCAAGATGGGCTGCAAGATAAAATCGGACGATCCTCATCGGACGGATTGTTCCCGCTGCTTCACAGGCTTCAAGGATGACGTCGTAGGGTTTCTGTGGTCCGTTCCTGTCCCCTTGAGCTCTTTGGTGGCGTTCATCGTCCTCGTTCTAACGCTCATCATCTCAACGTTCAGAGTCAAGTTCGAACTCCAGCGTGAGGCTCTTGCTTACGACGTCATGCACCCGATCAGAGACAAAGTGCTTGAGGTTGCTACAGAATGCAAATTTCTGAATCACATGAAGCTGGTGAGCTGGCAAGAATTCTCGCGCAGCAAAGATGATGCTGAAAGTGCTGAGATCGTTGTGGTCCAATAAACCTCACATGCAGCTGATGCTGACAACGCTGAGATCGTTGTGATTCAATGAACTTGATATGCTGCAGAGCGTAACTTTCACATGCTACTCTTTTACAACAACAAACAAGATCGCGCCATATCACACCATGAATGTATTGACAACGAAGCTTCAGATTCATTCAAAAACCACAAGTTTTCATGGTTATGATACCAGCCATGACAAGGTGAGTTCAATCACTACACGAAGCTTCACACATGGGGTGAGGATGCCATGTAGCCGCAACGGGAAGACAGTCAGATACAACTGCTAGGAGGTTGCAGCTGCAGCTAACTATGCTCCGTGTGCTTGAACTTGCCGCGCTCCTGTCAGGCCTTGCCTGTACCAATGTACAGCTACTCGTGAAGGTACATGTTCCTTGTGCTCAAACCGAAAGATTGAAAGATCCAGCGACTGTTTACGGATAGAAACGTGAAGACAGTATCATTTTCCAACAGAAAGACGTCAATAGAACAAAGATGCTTGAGTTACGAGACATGTTCTGGTGTCGAAGCCGCAGGCCGTCCTCGTTGTGTTGTAATACATGCAGGAATGGTTGCCATTCGGTGAAAGGAGGCCGGACGGTGGACAAGAGCACTGCTGGTGGAAGCACGACTGCTGAAGTATTTGCTGGACAAGGTCCTCCGATGCGAAACTTGAGCTAGCACAGCCCACATACATGCACGTGTTGTAGACTCGTCGTCTCACTGTAAGAGAACAACACTACACCTACATGCTTCCTCCCTCAGCTCGTCGCAAGCTCAACGCAGCTGCGCACAACAAGACCCATCGTCATGATCTTGCACCTGCTCATCGTGTCCCGCCCGAGGCTCCCCTCCCCTCCATCGCCAGCGCTGATACCCTCCTGCAGCATGACGCCATAGGTCAACTCCTTGGCTCCACACCCTACAAACAAGTTTCTTTAATTCGCCCTGCCCGCTGTTGAGCTGGAAGAAGGGAGCGAAGAATCCTCCCCCCCCCCCCTCCCCCCCCCGCTTCTCCTGCCTCTCCTGCCTCTCCTGCCTCTCCTGCCTCTCCTGCCTCTCCTGCCTCCCCCTCCTCCCCCTCCTCCCTCCTTCTCTTCCCATTTCCAACTCTCACTTTGCCATCTTGCCGTCCATTCACACGCGATGCATCGTCAGTCAATCCTGTTCTTCGCTCTCCTTCTCTCCTTGGCTTGCTGCGATGCAGACAGCGTCAGGTGTGAGGAGGAGGAGGAGGAGGAGCTTCTGCCGACCCCTGCTTCCCTCAAGAGGGAGATCGCGAGCGAGCGAGGAGCGGCAGTGGTGGACGCCGCGAGGGCGAGCATTGCGAGGATCCTTGCGGGGGAGGACGACCGGCTGCTGGTGCTAGCCGGTCCATGCTCGATCCATGATGTCGATGCGAGCATGGAGTATGCTAGGATACTGCAGAGGTGCGGAGGAGGAAGGAGGAGCAGGAGCAGGAGCAGGAGCAGGAGCAGGAGCAGGAGCAGGAGCAGGAGCAGGAGCAGGAGCAGGAGCAGGAGCAGGAGCAGGAGCAGGAGCAGGAGCAGGAGCAGGAGCAGGAGCAGGAGCAGGAGCAGGAGCAGGAGCAGGAGCAGGAGCAGGAGCAGGAGCAGGAGCAGGAGCAGGAGCAGGAGACTTGTGCTGACTTGGCTTTTGTTTCACCGTCAGGCTGCAAGAAGAGCATGGGGAGCAGCTGCTGATCGTGATGCGAACTTACTTTGAGAAGCCGAGGACAACGCTGGGGTGAGTCGAATGGGAGTAAGAGACGAGACGAGACGAGAAGAGAAGAGAAGAGAAGAGAAGAGAAGAGAAG